GAGACGAGAAGAATTTGCTGAATATTTGTGTTTTCGAAAGCTATATGTTTCACTGATGAAGAATAATGAATGAGAGAGGCAAATATATATAGCGGATGGAAGGATTGGGGCGCAAGGGTTTGCCTTGGCCGTCACTCATAGATAAACGGAAATATTCCAAAAATCTTCTATTCCTTGATCGCAAAGAATAATAGAAACGGAAATATTCCAGAAATCTGTTATTTCTTGCTGATAAGGATCTGGGCGAAACAGAAATATTTTGTTATTAATTTTCGATAAACAGAAATATTCTGGGCTAAAGCCCATATTCACCAAGACCCAAGACCCAAGACCCAACCCCAAGCCCGAGCCCGGCCCGGCTCGGCACGGCACAGCGCATGCGTATCACTATATATACTAGTGGAAAACAGCCCTTTCTCTCCTTCTCCATATTGTCCTCTTCTAAAGGCTAGTGAACCTTGTTGAGAGTGCGTCACTATATATACTAGTGAAAAATTCTTCCAACTTTCCATGTGGGACAAATGCTCATCTTGACATTTGTTGACTTTTTGTCTTGATTACATGCCCACTTTGACCAAAGATTTTTCATTCAAATCAACTTCATTTTTGACAAGTGAATATATTATCTTATAGTACTCATTACAAGGAATCCAAAAAATCCATAATCCAGTCAGTTCGGTAACTGTGCTCACCGGAAATATCGCCGGAAAACTGTCCTGAGCCATTTGTCAAAAAGAAGTTCCAAGAGTGCATTCCTCGACTTCTTAACTTTTGCTCAAATCATTAGTCCTTGAGGTATATGTATTACATTTTCTGGTTCAAGCTCAGATTTCATTTGATCGTTTTTGTGTCTTCCCATAATCATAACAATTAATCGGTAAAATCCAAACACCCATCCACAAGGTCAGCTTATTTACTGAAATATAAAGGCTTGGATTAAAGTCAGGTATAAAAATTCGCTCAGTTCAGATGAAAGTTAAACTCAACATGTCAAACTAAGAATCGATTCTTGATCTAGATGTTGTATCTAGATTCATCATCTAGATATAATTTTCAGATGCATCATTAAGATATTGTTCGTTTTTAAAACTAGGTTTTGCATTTGGATATAGCATTTGGATGCAACATTGTTTGTTTGTGTATTTATAAAAAATCTGAATGTAAAATATCTCAAATGACTAAATGGGTGTATTTTTCAATTTATTTATTCTATTTACAATTAAAATGATTTATTTATGATAATACAAATTAATAGTTTTTCTAAAAATTAAATTTAACAAAAAATAGTTTTGACGAAAAATATAATTTTGGCGGAAAAATATCAGTTTTCAGTTTTAGCGGGAAAACTTGGTTTTGCGGCTTTGAAGAAAAACATGGTTTGGCAGAAAACATGATTTTGGCGGAAAAAACTTGATTTTCTGGTTTTGACGGAAAAACTTGATTTTACGGTTTTGACGAAAAAACTTTATTTTACGGTTTTGGCGGAAAAACTTGATTTTACGGTTCTCGTGGAAAAACTCGATTTTTCAGTTTTGACGGAAAAACTTAATTTTATGGTTTTGGCGGGACAACTCGATTTTATGGTTTTGGCGGAACAACTTGATTTTCCGGTTTTTGCGGGATAAGTTGATTTCACGGTTTTGGTGGAAAAACTCGATTTTTAGGTTTTAACGGAAAACTTGATTTTACAGTTTTGGCGGAAAAACTCGATTTTCCGGTTTTGACGGAAAACTTGATATTCTGGATTTGAAGGAAAAACTTGATTCTTCAGTTTTGGCAGGAAAACTTGATTTTACGGTTTTGGTGGAAAAAATGATTTTCAGGATTTAACGGAAAACTTGATTTTACGGTTTTGGCGGAAAAACTCGATTTTCCAGTTTTGGCGGGAAAACTCGATTTTCTGGTTTTGGCGGGAAAACTCGATTTTCCAGTTTTGGCAGCAAAACCCGATTTTCCAGTTTTTGGCGGAAAAACTTGATTTTACGGTTTTGACGGAAAACTCGATTTTCCGGTTTTGGCGGGAAAACTCTTTTTCCGGTTTTGGCGGGAAAACTTGATTTTCTGGTTTTGACGAAAAAGCTTGATTTTACTGTTTTAACGGAAAACTCGATTTTCTGGTTTTGGCGGAAAAACTCAATTTTCTGATTTTGGCGGGACAACTCGATTTTCCGGTTTTGACAAAAAAGCTTGATTTTACAGTTTTGACGGAAAACTCGATTTTCTGATTTTGGCGGGAAAACTCAATTTTTCGGTTTTGCGGGAAAACTCGATTTTTCAGTTTTTAGCAGGAAAAACTTGATTTTACGGTTTTGGCGGAAAACTCGACTTGACGGAAAAAGTTGTTTTTTGGTTTCAGTAGAAAACTTTATTTTGCGGTTTTGGCAGAAAAATTCGATTTTGAGGTTTTATCGAAAAACTCAATTTTACTGATTTGGCGAAAAAACGTTTTTTTTGTTTTTATTTTACGATTTGGTAAAAAGATAATTAATATAAATTTTGTTGCATTATTTCTATCACAAATGATATTTTGGTCCTTTGGTTTTTGAGATGCAAATGCAACATCCAGACTCTACTTTTTTCAGCATCTCAAATATCCAAAATTTTGAGATATTTTTGATTTTGCATCCAGATACACAATCTAGATATTGATTTAAAAGTGTTCAAACGAACAATATTTGAGTATTTGCATCTAAATATAGCATCTTGATACAAAAACGAACAGAAACAACGGACTCTAAGATATTATTCAAACATGATTTGACTAGAAACAGTTTAATCTACTGAGATAAATATATTCATTTGATAATTATGCAAATTAAATGAAGACGTAAAACACTTTTTAAGGGTTATAAAACAAGAAAAGTAATAGTGATTAAGTTAATTTCTCATTTACAATATACTGGTGTTAGTTTAAGTATTTTCCCTTTAAAAGACATATTTTTCTTTACTCGTTATTACTAGTCGTTTCTTTGTTCTTTTTATTGTTAAAACTTTAAATTGTTAATATTAATTTTTTTTTTTATATCCGTGTTCTATCTTATTCATCATTGAAGTTATTTACATTCTTTGAATTTGATATTTTGTAAATTGCTCAATAAAATTCTTTATTTATTTGTTAATTAAAGATAATCTAATAATTTCTGCGATAAACAACTACGCTACATTCAAATAGGCGTTTATGGATACGAAAAATCCCAAACTCGAACCTGTTTAAAAACGTATAAATCAGTCTTGCAAATTAGATAAGAAATCGGAACCTAAACCATTGAGGAGACCTAATCAAATTTATATTCGTCCACTAAAAACGAAAACAGTTGTTTGACAAATAAAAAAAAATCTGAAAATACCTGAACACTCCACGACAACAACAAGCAAAAAAAAGAGGCAGCTACTACACGTACAGTTAGAATCTGACTGGTTTTAATATAATGATTGCAATTACCGGTGTGAGAATTTGTAGAAATTGCCGTTAATAGTACTACTAACTAACGGTTTGTACGAGGAAGTAGGTATATTTACATGATATTTTTGACTGATTAGTTAACAGGTATAAAAGCGGTTACAAAATAACGATATAAATATATTATATAATTAAAAATATATCATTATAAGAAAATATTAAATTATTATTATAATATAATTAATAATGAAAAGCTCCAAAAATATTATATGCATAATATTTATATTTATTTTAAAGGTTTTTTTTAATTTGAATGAAAATTAGAATTTTTTTAAAATGGTTTTTTGAATATTAAAATAAATTTATTTATTAGATAATAATAGTGATAAAAAATTATCTAATTTTTTGAATTAAAAGTATTATTAATATAAAATTATGATGAATAGTTAATAAATAACAAATTTAGACCATACAAAAATTAATTAATATTAATTTTAAAAATATCAAATTTATTTATACATTTTGTAATTGTAATATTTACAATTTATTTTAAGAAAAATATTATATATATTTTGATTTTAACAAATTTTTAGGTTTTTAACTTTTTTTTTAATTATCCAGTTGTAACTGACCGTAAATACTACTCCCTCCGTTTTAAAATAAATGTCGTTTTAGGTTTTATTTTTGTTTCACAAAGAGTGTCGTTTTATATTTCCAATGCAATTTTCTAAACAAAAATTCTGTTTTAACCTTGTTATATTAATGTATTAATTAGAAAGAGAATGTTATTTTGTGTTTGAACAAAGGGTAAAACAAAACTTTTAATGTTTTTCTTAATTTGTGTGAAAAGTGTTAAAATGATATTTATTTTGAAACAGAGGGAGTAGTAAATAGTAGTAAATAGAAGTTTTTGATTTTGGAAAAAAAAATATTACAAAATGATTAAGAATGGATTGTCAAACAGTAACAGCCAGTACCATCCATAAAAATGATGTTTGCGGATGTTAAGGAGAAAACCAATTATTACTTAAATTAATGATATAATATAACATTTAAGACTTCACGCCTATTGCTATTCTTCAGTAAAAAAAAATAGTTATTGTTTTTTGTATCTTTGTTTTGGGAGGATTTGGTAGGTTGTTTAAACTTTTAATCTTATAAAAACATACTTATTAGTTGTTTGAAAGTCTTCAAAACAGACTTTGGTTGTTTAGAGTTGTAATATCAATTGTCAAATTCGATCAATTTTGTAAAAGTTCGATAAATTATAACGTCGATAATAGTATTACTTTATTGGACTCTTTTCTTTTGTTTTGTCGGCTGTCATTTTCAGGAATCTAATTTATAAATGCTTAAATTCTACTTCACCACAAGGTCCACAACTCTTCTTGTTTATTTGATCAAAGTTTCAATCTCAAATGTCAAAATCTATCTACACTCTTAAAAGTTCGTTAATCACCGACGTATACATCTCTCTTGTACCACACACACATATTATTGCTATGTAACTAAAGATTCCCCTGCCTTTTGATCTGTCATCTTCAAGAATCTAAATTAAATATACTTAAACTCTACTCCACCACAACCAAACGAGTCTTGTCTTAACTAATTTGCCTAACAACCTTATCGCCTCACTAACAACTCCATCACCCAAAACTTAAACACCTTTAGCTATGCAGCTTATGCCTATAAAATCCTGTTAAGTTCCAATGACCTAGCAACCCAAAATATCCGCTCTAAACTAAATACATTCTTTTTGGTCAAGAAAAATTAAAAATTTGATTGGTTAGCAATTAAGATTTCAAAAAAAAAAACCCAAAATGAATGCACATTTGCTCAATCTCCTTCTCACAGCTATCCTAGCATTTTCTTTCGACGTTGAAGCACTCACTCCGCACTACTACGACCAGTCATGTCCACAAGCAGATCACATTGTTACCAATGCAGTCAAAAAAGCTATGTCAAATGACAAAACTGTCCCCGCCGCTCTCTTGAGAATGCATTTCCATGACTGCTTCGTCAGAGTACTTATTACTGCTTTAAAATCGCAATTTTTCATCTTATATGTATATATATACTATAGAAATAACATTGTTGGTGAATATTTTGGATGAGTAAAGGGATGTGATGCGTCGGTTCTGTTGGACTCCAAGGGAAAGAACAAGGCAGAGAAAGATGGACCTCCTAACATCTCACTACATGCGTTTTATGTGATTGACAATGCAAAGAAGGCATTAGAAGAGCAATGTCCCGGTGTCGTCTCTTGTGCCGATATCCTTTCACTCGCTGCAAGAGATGCAGTTGCTCTCGTTAGTCTCCCGCCATCTCATATATATTCAAATTATAATTTTATTTTGATTATTCGAATGAACCACCTACTTATTTGTGTGGATGAAATTATAGTCAGGAGGGCCTTCATGGGAAGTGCCGAAAGGGAGAAAAGATGGGAGAATATCAAAGGCAATAGAAACAAGACAACTACCAGCTCCTACTTTTAACATCTCTCAGTTGCAACAAAGCTTTGGCCAAAGGGGCCTCTCTATGCATGATCTTGTTGTTCTCTCTGGTATTAAACATACTCTTGTTCACTTAAAAGTATATAAGCCAATGATGCCGCTAAACCATGATTACAAAATTTGTTATTATATATATATATTTTTTATTAATGGTATAAATTTGGAATGCTTAATTAAATGTCAGGAGGACATACACTAGGATTTGCCCACTGCTCATCGTTTCAGAATAGGATCCACAGCTTCAACACACAGAAACAGATTGATCCAACGCTAAACCCATCATTCGCGGCGAGCTTGAACGGAATTTGCCCAGCCCATAACAAAGTGAAGAACGCCGGAGCGACCATGGATGCAACCACAACGTCATTCGACAATATTTACTACAAGATGCTTATGCAAGGCCAATCACTCTTCTCATCCGACCAAGCGCTTCTAACAACACCATCTACTAAGAAACTCGTGTCCAAGTATGCAAGTTCCATCGAAGAGTTCGAGAAGGCCTTTGTGAAATCCATGATCAAGATGAGTAGTATCAGTGGGAATGGTAAAGAGGTCCGGCTTAACTGCAGGAGGGTTCGTTAGATTCTCAATCTCCGTTCCAACAAAAGGAATCTAAGTCTTTATAATTCTATCGTCATATTGATTGTTTGTGAATAGGCCGTTCTAATAATTATGGCTGAGGTTCTTGTATCATCATTATAATTCTATCATGTGTGAGTGTGACAGTTATTTACAAGTACTAATATATATATATATATATATATATATATATATATTTCAGAAATTCCTTGAAATGACATCGAAACATGTTTTGGTTCCAAAAATTACCATGGACGCTCAAATGTGATATTCATACCAATATTCATTAAACTAATGATATATATTTTATTCGACCAAGTTATTAAAAAAAGAACAAAACATTATATCGAAGTTATTACATAGCCAAGACTTTTAGTTCTTGCTTCCTCGCCTAAGTATCAGCTACGATAATTATATTTCTAAAACAATTCCTGAACTTTATAGTTACAAGTTCCACTGGTCATTTTGAGGATGTCCTTGACATCATATGAGGAGACTGTCGAATGTTCCCATGTGGATTTCTGAGGTAAAGCCAACAAATCCTAGATAATATTAAAGAAGGTGTCGGAGTCTCCACAACATGTAAAATTGTAGTAGCCTAACCTCTTAATTTGTAAAGCTCCAGCCTTAGCTTCTAAAGAGGAGTTGGTAGATTGATGAACAAGCCACATGTTCATGTCAAGGATTGCCTTGTTGATAATAACTGGAATAGATTGTTCCTCATTTTTTTTTTTTTTTCATTATGTGATTGAGATAACGAACTATTACCCGAGATATGTGGCAGATGTGCTTGCCATGTGATTGTATCTGGTGCACCCCCACATCGTATCAGTGTATAAACTGTCTTTTAGTGCAAGCAAATTTGACTTGGTTCTTCCTCGAATATGTATATAATAAAATTTACCAACTCTTTCGTTCGTGAAGCGAACCCAAAAGTTGAACAACTCTTGATCTGATCAAACGGCTCCCAAAAACATAGTATAGAAACGATTGTTATTGTTTTTTCGCTTTCATAAAACTACAGAATAATAATAACCTAAAAATCTTCTTCATGTTGCACAAAATGGAAAAAAAGAGAGTGAATGAACGACATATATATAAGGGTTCGTAAATCAAGGCTAATCATCTCTTTTTATTCTTCTTCCCATCTAGTTGATTGAGTTTTCAAGCGCCACGAGTCTCAACATTTTCTTCTCTTCTTAATCAAATCGACGGTTTCTAAATTTCTATTTTTTTTTCTTTCTTTTGCCTCTTGCATGCTGCTTGATTTGCACTGAACTTGGAACATAAAGGCACACACTTGCCTGACACCCTTTGACCTCACATTTTCCGAGATCCAATTCTCTAAAGTATCCATTCTCTCCAACGAAGTTAACTCTGTTGCAAATCGAGTAGTTTCTATGAAAACCCATGGCCACTTTCTTCTCCTCTTCAATGAAGAAACTTAGATTAAAGAGAACATCATGGAAGCTTGGTCTCATATCCATTGTATTACAGAGAACATCATGGAAGCTTGGTCTCATGTCCATTGTCAAGAACTTGATCCACGACACCTTTTCGGCCTCAATCTTATCAGTAGTAATCCATATCTCAATCTCTCTTGGAAATCTTAATTTGTGCTGCAACGAAACCGCGAGCTTCTCTTCTTTAACACAAGATAAAGTCACATGATAGTGATCAACCTGAACGTTGAACGGCAGAGGCAGAAGCGGCCCAAATCTCTCACTTGTAAAATCAAACCAGGCTACGTGATACTCAGGTTTTCCTTCTGAGTTATTTTCTAAAACACACCAGTACGTGTTTCCCTTTAGAGAAACGCCACGCTGATTCGAATACATACGCAAGTGTCGATTGGCATCAAGAGTCTTCCATAAACAAGAGTCGAAATCATAGATTTCGAAGCAGAAAAAGGGAGTTTCGGGAGATGCTAGGAAAATTCCTAATGGACGTGGACGATATTGGTAAATTACACGAAACCTCAAGAGTCTGTGGCTACGACGAGATTGGTTCTTCTTATTCACGTATCCGAGAGCGTAGTAGGTTCGATCCGTATCTAGTGCGTTGGGTCCCGGGCTATAGTTTCTAGGTTCGATCCACCTTGTTTGCCCCAAATACGGATTCCAAACCACAACCCTAGAATCCTCTTTCAAGATGCATAACAATAAACCCTCTCACAGTGAAACACTTGAGATATCTTGACTTGTTCGCTAAGGCAAGTAAGTTCACCTTTAGGGTCTATAGATGGATCAACATCGAAGACGACGCTCTTTAAATAGAGATTGCAATTCATCAACATGATCATCTGATGAGACCCACCTTCTCTTGCTTTCTCAGTGTGCATCTTCGTAAACCTACGGCTTTTGCATAAAGTTTCCCACTTTCTGCAAGTTAATTGTACGATTCTCATAGATTTCAAGGGAAGTCTAGAGAAAATCTCCTCTACCAAATCTCTTGGAAGATCGGAGATCATCGTTGTCGTTTCGAGGGCTTTTTTCTTCTTCTTCTCCTCTGATTTGGAGAGGTTGTGGAAAAGTATGTACAGTTATGTATGACAGATTGAAGACACAAAAACCCTAGATTAAGCTGGGCCAGTCATGGGCTTCTACGTCTAATCAATCACAATAGTAACTGGATACTCGCCCGGCCTTTCTTATCTCTTTATTCGCCTTTTTCTAATTTAAGTGAATCATATGTTTTTATGAAACCGTGATGATTAATCTTAGATTTTTTGAACTATAAATCATAACATAAGATCAATGCATTGATCAAAGATTGATTTAGCTGAACTAAAACTTTACATCCTTAATTTGAGATCAAACCGAAAGAACAAAACTGAACCAAAACTTAAAATCTTTCTTTTCCTCTGATTTCTTGCGGCTAAAGGTAGAGGCTATGTAACTAACAATTGAAAACTCAGTAACCCTAGACAAAGCTGGGCTAACCATGAGCTTCAGGATCTTTTTTTTTTTAGTTCACAATCAGATTTTCGTTTCTCAACTATGGAAGCTTTGATGAAACAGAGAGTCTTAGTTGAGTCCTTTGTAGGAAGTCATAAAAGCTTAGTCAAGTGTATAAACCGTCTTTTAGTGCAAGCAAATTTGACTTAGTTCTTCCTCGAATTTGTATATGAAGCTAACCCAAAAGTTGAATAACTCTTGATCTGATCAAACGGCTCCCAAAAACATAGTAGAAACGATTGTTATTGTTTTTTTTTTAGCTTTCATACAACTACAGAATAATAATAACCTAAAATCTTGTTCATGTTGCATAAGATGAAAAGAAGAGTGAATGAAAGACATGCAGTAAATAAGGATTTGTAAATTGAGACTAATCATCTCGTTTTCTTCTTCTTGCCATCTCATGCTACTCCTTGATTGACTTTTCAAGCGCCACGAGTCTCAACATTTTCTTCTCTTCTTAAATAAATCGACGCTTTCTAAATTTCTATTTTTTTTCTTCCGTTTGCCCCATGCAAGCTGATTGATTTGCACGGAACTTGGAACATAAGGGCACACACTTTTCTGAACCCTACATTTTCCGAGATCCAATATTCTATGGTATCCTTCCTCTCCAACGAAGATAAGTTTGTTGCGATTCCAGAATCCAGAGTATCTATAAAACCCCATGGCGACTTTCTTTTCCTCGTTGATGAAGAAACTCTCCCACATCGGAATGTGAACGAAGCCTGTTCCCACATCCATTGTCAAGAACTTGATCCACGACACATTTTCGGCCTCAATCTTAGTAGTAATCCATATCTCAATTCCTATTGAATATCTTACCTGTAACGAAACGGCAAGCTTCTCTTCTCTAACACAAGATAAAGTCGCATAATGATTATCATTAGCGCTGAACGGCAGACGCAAAAGCGGCCCAAATCTCTCACTTGTAAAATCAAAACAGATTACGTGAGTCTCAAGTTTTCCTTCTGAGTTCTTTTCTGAAACAGACCAGTACGTGTTTCCTTTGAGAGAAACGCCACGCTGATTAAAAGATATACGGCAGTGTGGATTGGCAAGAACCTTCCATAAACAAGAGTCCAAATCATAGATTTCGAATCGAAAACTGCTACAAGATTTTCGGATTGGAACTTCCCAAAACCGCAAGATTGTGTGGCTACGACGACAAGATTCGTTCTTCTTATTCACGTATCCAAGAGCGTAGTAACACATATCAGGTCCTCTGGGTCCCAGGTGATGATAGTATCTAAGATCGATCCACCTTGTTTGCCCCAAATACGGATTCCAAACCACAACATCATATCTCAAGACGCATAACAATAAACCATCACAGTGAAACACTTGAGATATCTTGACTTTTACATTAAGTTTGCCTTTAGGCTTTATAGATGGATCACTATCGAAGACTACGCTCTTTAAGTAGAGATTGCCATTCACCAACATGATCATACGAGACTCACCTTCTCGTGATACGGAAGATACTTTCTCAATGTTCATAAAGCTACGGCTTTTCCATAAAGTATCCCACTTTCTGCAAGTTAATCGTACGGCTCTCATAGATGTCAAGGGAAGTCTGAAGAAAATCTCATCTATCAAATCCCTTGGAAGATTGGAGATCATCTTTGTCGTTTTCGCAAGGTTGCCACAAAAGGTTTTTTTTTTTTGGGTTCTTTTCCTCGGATTTCTTGCGGCTGGGGGAAAGTATTTGTATTGACAATTGAAAGACACAGAAACCCTAAATGTAGCTGGGCCATTCGTGGGCTTCAGAATTCTTCTTCTTCTTTCTTGAGATTTTTTCTTCCTTTTTGAGTTTTTTCTATATACAGTAGAGACTAGAGAGAACAATTAACTGAAGACAAACAAAACAAACCGCAGGTCTCTAGGAAAAGAAAAAAAGACATGCTACAGATCAAATAAAAGACATTGCTACAAAGAAAATCCACTCTGAAGAAATAGAATATGATATGATCAATGAATCACCACAAACAGAAGTCACATTAAGTCTATAAATTAGAATGAGAAACTATAGTGTAGTTAGCAAGAATTTTACCAAACCAAATAGTCTACTAGAGACTACTAATGATAAATTAGAGTAACGAAGCTCAATTGAACATCCAAAACAAAATAAGAACGTATAGTAGAGAAAACGAACATCGAATTATCTCAAAAAAATCTCGGACGGAGAACACTAAGTGAAAAGAAGAAGACACCGAGATGTAGTGGCCTTTTTTTATTTTTGTTTCTCTATTTGAAAAACCCAAAACATAGAAGAAAGAAACGATTATTAATATGTTTTTTTTGCTTTCATACATCTTATCCGGACTACATAAGATGGGAAGAAGAGTGAATGAAAGACATAAATTAGGGTTTGTATATTGAGACTAATCATCTCTTTTTCTTCTTCCTTTTGCCTCCTGCATGCTGTTTGATTTGCACTGAACTTGGAACATAAGGGCACACACTTGCTCGACACCCTTTGGCCGCACATTCTCCGAAATCCACCCCTCTAAAATATCCATCCCCAACGAAGGTAACTCTGTTGCGAGTCGAGTCTCCATAGTTTTGATATAAACCAATGGCGACTTTCTTCTCCTCGTTGATGAAGAAACTCTCCCACACCGGAAGGCCAACGAAGCCTGGTCCCATATCCATAGTCAAGAACTTGCTCCACGATACCTTCTCGGCTTCAATCTTAGTAGTAATCCATATCCTAATCTTATTCGGACATCTTAACTTGTTCTGCAAGGAAACCGCAAGCTTCTCTTCTCTAACACTAGATAAAGCCACATAGCGGTTATTAACCTCAGCGCTAAACGGCAGAGGCATAAGCGGCCCAAATCTCTCTTATGTAAAATCAAAACAGATTACGTGATACTCAAGTTCGTCCTCTAGGTTCCTTTCTGAAACACACCAGTAAGTGTTTCCCTTTAGAGAAACGCCACGCTTATTAGACGGTTCACGAAAGTGGTCGGTGGCATTAAGAGTCTTCCATAAACAAGAGTCGATATCATAGATTTCGAAGCGGGTTTTACCAGATCCTCGGGTGTTTTTGAGTAGATGTGGATGGATGTGAACATAAAAAAACCTCAAGATTTTGTTCTTTCTTATTCACGTATCCGAGAGCGTAGTTGTACATCTCCGAATCTCGTCCGTTGGGTCCTGGGCGGTAGTTTCTAGGTTTGATCCACCTTGTTTGCCCGCAATATGGATTCCAAACCACAATCCTAGCATCGTCTTTCAAGACGCATAACAATACACCCTCACAGTGAAACACTTGAGATATCTTGACTTGTTCGTTAAGGCAAGTAAGTTTGCCTTCAGGCTCTATAGATGGCTTAACGTTGAAGGCGAAGCTCTTTAAATATAGATTGCAATCCACCAACATGATCATCTGAGACGACTCACCTTCTCTTGATGCTTTTTCTATGTGCATCTTTGTAAAGCTTTTGCATAAAGTATCCCACTTTCTGCAAGTTAATCGCACTTATCTCACAGACTTCAAGGGAAGTCTAGATAAAATCTCCTCTATCAAATCCATTGAAAGATTAAAGATCATCGTTGTCGTTTTTGAAAGGTTGCAACAAAAGTTACTTTTTGTTGTTGTTCTTTTCCTCTGATTTCTTGCGGATGGGGGAAAGTATTTGAAGGGGACACAGAAACCCTAAACGAAGCTGGGCCATTCGTGGGCTTCATTATTTACTTTTTCTCCATATACTGTAAGAGGAAATATTTTCTAAGAAAATAACTGGATATTTATTGCTGACGTGGAACTCTTCATCGCCACAGGATCCGGCATTTCTTATCTCTTCCGAAATTTCCCTCCAATTACAGACAAACCTGAAACTCTGACAGCATCACAATCTCAATTCTCAACCACAAAATCCCAAAGCTCCAACTTTTTTTTGGTTTCCCGAAAAACACAAGAACGAACGATCTCGATCTTCTCTTTCCCGGAAGAAAATAGAAGAAGAATGTGCAGTAAGATGGCGTTTACTCTAACAATCCCTCGATTTTACTCTGCAATTTCTCGCAAACCCGCCACTTGTTCATCTCCTTCTCCTTCGAGGCCACAGTGTGCTAATTTTAGCCATGGACGATCGATTTCTCTCAGACGAAGAATTCTCTTATTGCCCGTCAAAGCTACTACTGATCAATCAGGTCTCGACTTTTGTTTTTGCCTCTTAAAGTTTCAATTTTTTTGGAGTCGTAACTGTAAATCTCGACCATTTTCCAGTGTTGTCACGATCTGTCCGAGAGTATGTTTTCGTTTGGGAACACAACTGATGTGAAAAAGTTTTGATTTTTGGTTATAGAAGATAATTAGAGTAACTGATTTCCAGTTTTTGGATCTTCAAGGTAAAATTTCGTATGTATTGGCTTAAGGTTTCTCTTCACTTTCTGTTAGATTGAACTTACAAACACTCAAATTTAAAATTTAGTTGCAAAAAAGTTGTTATATTGAACTTTGTTTTTTTTTGGTTTTGATGCTCCTTTAGTTTTGATATTGCACTTTTAGTCTTTCAGTCTTCACTCTCTGATTCATATAATAAAAAAGCTCAAATCTTGACATTCAATTGAGGGAATTCGAAATTGATAATATTTAGGTTCACTTTTTTTTTGGTGATTCTCTTGTTTATATGAACTAATCAACCTTTAGAGTTTCCTTAGTTATTAAAATCATTCTTAAATTCTCTTCAGGTCAGGTGGGTGGAGAAGAAGTGGATAGCAAGATTTTACCTTACTGTAGCATCAACAAGAATGAGAAGAGATCACTCGGCGAAATGGAACAAGAGTTTCTCCAAGCGATGCAAGTAACACAGAGAATAAAAATGGCTTTTGTTTTTTTTTCATGGGTTACCAAAATATGATAGAGATGTTTTCAAAGTCTGAGGATTGTTCTCTGCCTTTATTTTTTTCAGTCATTCTATTACGAAGGCAAAGCGATTATGTCTAATGAAGAGTTTGATAATCTTAAAGAAGAGTTGATGTGGGAAGGAAGCAGTGTTGTCATGCTAAGTAATGAAACTATGATTTTGTATTTTCTTACTCTGTTTGCGTTTTCTAAGGCCGAGGTTCTTGATCTGTGATCCACTTTTTATGTATTGCAGGTTCTGATGAACAAAGATTCCTTGAAGCTTCAATGGCTTATGTCTCTGGAAACCCAATCGTGAGTGATGAAGAATATGACAAGCTGAAAATGAAACTAAAGGTTTCAATCTCTTTATGCTTACAGATAAAAAGAGCCACATACTGTTGCTTAGTTTCATCCTTACTTGTTTAACTTCGATCTGATTTATGATTCTTTCCTTTGTTTCTGTAGATGGACGGAAGCGAAATTGTGTGTGAGGGTCCAAGATGCAGTCTTCGTAGTAAAAAGGTAAAAGTTAATTACATTGATGATAGGACATTGTAGAACATAAACATCAGTTTCAATGTTTGGGACAAACTCTAGAGATGTTACAGACTTGTGAACTCCTGATTATGCAGGTTTACAGTGATCTCGCCGTAGATTATTTCAAAATGTTCTTGTTGAATGTACCAGCAACTGTTGTTGCTCTCGGACTGTAAGTACCGGTTCTGTTCCTCTCTCAAGTCCCAAATCACATCATCTCAAGATTTTGTTAGTTCTTTGCTTATATAACATTGCTGTTTTCTTCAATTGTTCTCCAGATTTTTCTTCCTTGATGACCTTACGGGTTTTGAAATCACGTACCTGCTTGAGGTAAAACCTCTTTCGACCCATTTTTTTTATGGTTTGGAGAATATACTCGTAATCGTTACAATTTTCTTGCAGCTTCCGGAACCATTCAGTTTCATTTTCACGTGGTTCGCTGCGGTGCCTGCAATTGTATATCTGGCTCTCTCACTCACCAAGCTAATCATCAAGGACTTCTTGATCTTGAAGGTAAAACTCATTGATCTTCTTTAGACCTATTCTTGAACTGGAAAAGCAAGAGATTAATACTCATGAGATGTTTTAATTTTTCTTGGAATCTATTTTTCACAGGGCCCTTGTCCAAACTGTGGAACAGAGAATACATCCTTCTTTGGAACAATACTATCCATCTCCAATGATGGTACCACCAACAATGTCAAATGCTCCGGGTAAGCAAGCTCCTTAGCTTTAGACTTGGATCAATCGCAAAGAAAGTCTATAACGTTTCTTGAAATGTTTAGATTCTTAAAACTGTTTTTTTGTTTGTTTGTTTAGATGTGGAACGGAGATGGTCTATGACTCGAGTTCTCGTTTGATCACATTACCAGAAGGAAGCAAAGCTTAAACATATGAGCCAACAAGGTTAGAATCTCATCTTAAATTTTAATTTCTGTTCAAACTAATTTTTGATTCAGTGTGAATTTAAGATTATAGGTTTCTCCTCGTTTTCTGTTTTCTCAGGGGGATGTATGTAAAATTGATACTAACAGATGAAGAAGGTGGAGAAATTAAAAAAAAAGTAGCAAAAGAGTGAGTTTGTGTGCTGTTTTGTATAATCTCAAATCTTTTATGGAGTTCTCGTTGACTTGTATTGTGTTTGTAAGTAAATGTGAGGCGCAATCAAAGAAAAACATCATATGATTACTTCTTTGAGGAATTTCGTTCTCATTAGAAAAATATAATAAATCAGGAAAAAAATTTAGCATAACATATTACACACACTTGGATTTTTGTTATAATTTTTTGTATGTGTGTTTCATAATTTGCCTAGAATATATATGCTTATTAATCCATGTGAAACTGTAATATCAAATTATAATATGATGTTGTAAATCAATTTGTAGGTGATAAGTCAAGGCCGGTCCAAGACTTTTTAAGAATTTTTAGTATCATTCTATTAATAAGATGAAAAATATATAAAGTGGGGAACATGTAACGAGAAGTAGTGATTGTTAATCTTTTGAGACTACACAAAAGGAAAAGTCATACAAACATTATAGCCTGCCAAACTATATCTTTTTAATATGAAAAAGAAGCAATGATTATCATCATCTTCCCATGCCATCTTCATCATCATTCACCCAATATACTCTCACCATTAGAGTTAGCTTCCACATGATTTCCTTTAGATCTAATCCAATTCGTGACCCAAAGTTGTTTTTCCAAATGATTGTTATTCTGAAGGTGGTGGTTGTAACTTGTCAATTTATTGATTTATATTGCTCGACCAGAATCTTCTTAATCTAGTCATCTAGTAGTTTGTAATAGAAGGTTTTGGATGCATTATCACGTTTAAATGTAGATAGAGGGAACCTTGTCATATTTTCATCAAAACCAATAATAAGCAAAAAAAGAAGAAGGATCTAATAGATTCTTCTTGTTTGTTATGTTGCTTATTATTGGTTTTAATGAAAATATGACATTGTAAGCAAATTTTGGTGTAAACTTTTTCTGTTTGTTTTCTTGGCTGATCCTTGGCCCATTAAAGTAAGTAAGACTTTTGTATAAGAGTTGGGAATTTTTTTTGTAAATGTATCAAATGATCAACGAATATAATCAAAATTTTCAGTAAAATTATATTAATATAAGCAATGATGTTACAAGACTACAAAGTGTAAAGTAATGTCTCGAGGCTCGAAAAAGGTAGGATAAATACTGTAAGCATTATAAAACATCGGTCATGCTTATTCATTATTATGTCTTAAAAAATACAATGTATATACTGTATACTTATCATGTCTGTCTCCATAACACATGCCAACAAAGTAAAATGCAATCTATCTCTTTCCCTCTCTCTTACTGATCATTTCTCTCTGGAAAACCCTCAAAATCTTAAAGTTCATCTCATAATCTCTTGGATCCTTCTCACATGGGCTCCATACCATTCATCTTCATAATCCTTCTCTCTCTTTTACAGGAACCCAAATCTCAAACGATCCAATCAGCACATCTCCTTGATCTTATGATCAGAGATTACACCATCAGAAACTTCAACATACATATCAAGACAGGCACAATCCAGAAAATCCTTCTTCCTTCGAATTTCTCCTCCATTGATATTGATACGGCTAAGTTTAGATGTGGGAGTTTGAAGAGACACGGTGCAAGGATCGGAGAGTTTCACTTTGGTCCTGGCTTGACGGTGCAGCCATGTGTTGAGAGAGTGATTCTGGTGAGGCAGAATTTGGGTTGTAACTGGTCTTCTTCTATTTACTCAACCGGTTATAACTTAACCGGTTACAATTACGAGCTCGTGTCCCCGGTTCTCGGTTTATTGGCTTACAATTCTAACCCGGACGGTGTTGCTGTGAATCCTTATGAGGTTAGCGTAATGGGAACAGAACAAAGCCCTATATTGATAGATTTCTTCAGAGACAAGGCAAGTGGTAACTTTAAGCCTAACAAGAAGAAAAATTCATCTCTCTTGTGTGCTTGCTTCACAAGTAACGGTAACATAACGTTTAAAGAGCAAGTTTCACCCTATGTTTGCTTGGGAACAACACAAGGGCATTACGCGCTCGTGACTAGAACTCCGCTAAGAGATAATGAGGGCGACGGTTACGGTGGTGGAGTTCTTACGCCGTCGTCGTCTCCGGCAGTAGATGGCGGGGGGAGATTGAGCCGGTGGAAAGTGGCGGTTGGGAGTGTGATTGGGTCAGTGATTGGAGCGCTTCTGTTAGGGTTATTAGTGGTGGCGATGTTAGTAAAAGGGAAGAAGAAAGCAATGAGAGAGCAGATAGAGAGGAGAGCTTATGAAGAAGAAGCACTTCAGGTTTCAATGGTCGGTCATGTTAGGGCTAATCCTAATGCTTCGAGAACAAGAACGGTTCCAAGATTTGATAACAATAGGCATAGTAACAAGTATTAACAAACTTAACTAGTTAGATCATCCTTCTTAATGATAATTTGTCTCCACCTTTTTTAGTGTTAACTATGTATATAACTCGCGCTATATTAATAGTTTGGTTTAATTATTTTTTAGCTACTATCTTTAAAATTATTAAAACAATAATATATTTATAAAAATTTTTATTTATATAAGAGAATTTTATATATAATGTGTAATTTTCTCCTATTTTTCTTTATAAATTTTTTAAAAAATTAGGTAAAATAATAACAATGATACCTATCAAATTATCCGACTTTGACGTACATATACATTTGATTTAGAGAAAGATTTTGTTGCTAAGATTTTAGTATTATTTTCTGTTTTCATAGAATTTCTATAGTTATTTTTTTCTTGAAGGGTTCTGTGTTTAAATATTCAATTTTTTTTATTGAAAGTCTTATTGATGTTGTGTACCACTGAATATATAATTCATAATTCATGTTGATTCGCATTTAATTTTATTAAGAAGCTGCAATGATCATACAAAACCATTTTTTCCTTCTCCACAATGTCTTCCAAGAGTTTTATGTTATATTTTTATTTAGTTTTCATTGATATCTGTTCATTTTACAGTCTAATATTTGATAATTTTAATTTTCTAATTTGTAGGGTCGGTGATGTGGAGTCTTTGCATTATTTTTCAATGTTTTTATCTTTTGTGTGCAATATGCATGCTTTGAACATTTCATCTACATATAGGAATTTGAGTTTAATTCATTACTATGTCATACTTTATTATTTAAATAAAATTTTAGAATGTGTTATTGATTTTGATTTAGATATAAGTAGTGGCTATGTATATAAATCATATTTTACTACTTGTTAAATATTTAGTGTAAAGTTATTATATCATTTTTAAATCAGAAACATCAAATGTATTAATCATTGTATATTTAAAAATATATTTGGTTTAGAAACTCATGTAAAACTATTGCAACTTTAGATAATTATTCATTGTTGATACTAATACTTTCGAAATCAGAAACTTTTTGAAACTAATTCCAAATTAATTTTGTTTTAATTTTTTTTTGATAATTTACATCTTTTGATAAGATGTTTTTATTTATATACTTTTTGTATGTTTGATATACTTAGAACTTATATTATTTTATTAAGCTCTTTTGTTGTTGATTCTCCAAATAGGTATCATAGACATCACATTAATTTTGTTTTATACAAATACTTTTTGTTTGTTAATTTTTTTTATATTAAATTAATTCTAGTTATAATGCTGATTTGTTATGCCCTAACTGTTGAATTTAAATCTTAGTTGGACTTTTTTAAAAGGCTTATAACATCATTTGTTTATTTTTGTTAAGTTTTTTTATATTGATTTTCAAAATCTTTAGCCCAAGTTAGTTTTCTTTTATACGACTTTTTCTTTTGTTAATTTGCCTCATTTGATAATGATTCCTATTTTATTTTGAAACATAAATATATAACATGTTAAAAGGTAAAAAAAGCTTTTAAAAAATAAGGTGTTAAGAGTTAAATAAAACTTATTATTTAATTTATTTCAGGATTCATCATATTTTCATAAACAATAGTAAAACAATGGTAATTATATATTTGAAATTACAAACTTTGAAATGTTTTTGGGTTCATAATTGTGGCTAGGAGCACGACAGGTTTAACAACACTTTTCATTATTTTTCTTTGAAAATTGGCGGAAGAGTAACAAGAACAATTGACCCACTGTTTAGAAAATGTAAAATGGTGGTAAGTAAACATAGATTGTATTCCAGGTTAGAATATATATAAATGACTTGTTAGGAAAACATGCATATCTTTTTAATTGCAAGTGAACATTTATTTTATTATAACTTTCACAATTAGCAATATCATTAGCTTAACTGGACGAAGAAAGTTCTCGTCGTTGATGATGATCATTTTTCTAATAGCATCTAGACATTATATACATTATTATATATTTGTATTTTTTGACATCTATTATATATTTGTATATGTGCAATGCATTATAAGTTATAAATTTTTCTAATCTATGCTATAAGTTTTAGCTTTTACGATATTGATTTTTTGGTTAGTTTGACTTTTTTACATTAAATTTCCATTTAATTTCAAAAGATACTATATTTTGGTTTTTTTAATATAATTTTATTTTCAATTTGTTACTTAAACGTTTCTATTTTATTTTTTTATCTATAAAATGAAATTAATCCTTTTTTATTTTCTTGTTAATTAATTTAGAAGTTAGAATTTTCCTAATCTACATTATAAGTTTGATCTTTAATGATATTGGTTTTTTTTTTTTTTTATCTATTTTGAAAACAAATTTCCATTTGATTTTGATGGATGCTTTTTTTTGTTTCTTTAACATAATTTTCTTTTCTATTTGTTAGTTAAGCCTTTTTATTTTAATTTTTCCATCTATAAAGCGAAATGAATGTTTTATATTTTCTGGTAAATTAATTTAGAAGTTATAATTTTTCTAATCTATATTATAAGTTTAAACTTCTATGATATTGGTTTTGTTTTGTTAGTTTAACTCTTTTGAAAACAAATTTCTATTTTATTTTTAAGGCAACTATTTTTTTGGGTTTTTATCATATATTCCTTTTCTATTTGTTACTTAAAATTTTTTTATTTAATTTTTCTATGATTAAAACGAAATTAAGGTTTTTAACATTTTTTTGTTTAATGAAAATTGCTGATGTGGACTAATCATATCGAGTTTTTTTAATCCTATGTAGACGTCATCAATGCACTATGTCATCAACTTTTATATAGTACTAAGGTTTTAATCCGCGCTACGCGCGTGTCTGTACTAATAATTTGGCTTAATTTTTCTGATTAATATTTTTTAAATTATCAAAACTATAATAGATTTATAGAAATTTTCTTTTATATAAAAAATTAAAACATAATATGTAGTTTATCCTATTTT